CCTGTTGACGCCCTTTTTGTAGGGTGAATGTGGTTCGCATCTCCATCCAGGTAGCAGTTTCTCCGAAGGGAGGAAACACGGACCCCCGAGGCCGTGTTGGGGAAGGGGTGTACCCGTAGAGCGGGCCTGCTCCTGGAGGGCCCCTGGCCAGGCCTGGGCCTTGGAGGTGGTCCCAGCCAGCAAGGGCAGAGGAGACCAGAGATGTTGGCAGCCCCTCTCCCCCTCCAGCTCCACCCCTGCCACCTGCTGCAGGGGTGAGCCTGTGGCCCCAGCTGGAAGGTGTTTCTCCCCTGCAGGGCCAACTCAGCGAGGACTTTGTGGAGGCCCTGAAGGCAATTGTGGGGAGCCCCCACGTGTCTACTGCGGCCGCCGTCCGGGAACAGCATGGGCACGATGAGTCGATGCACAGGTGTGGGGCTCCTGCCTCTGCGAGCGAGGGCTCTGGGCTGGCTTCTTCCCCGCCCTTCTGTCTTGGGGTCCTCTGGCGCTCTCCTCCACACCCCGCCCCACGGTGCTGCCCCAGGCCCCGTAACACCTTGCGGGTCCTTGAAATGTGAGCAGGACCAGAGAGTCCTATGCCCCCTAAACTGCTGAGCGTCTGGTTCTAGGTGCCAACCTCCGGATGCCGTGGTGTGGCCCCAGAACGTGGAGCAGGTCAGCCGGCTGGCAGCCCTGTGCTACCGCCAAGGCGTTCCCATCATCCCCTACGGCACCGGCACTGGGCTCGAGGGGGGCGTCTGCGCTGTGCAGGTACGGCGGCCCCTCCCAGGCCGGGCTCTGGCCCAGCACGCGTCACCTCTGTGGTGCTCCCACCTCTGTGGTGCTCCCTCCGCCGCGCACAGCTTGGGTGCCCAGGTCCAATCCCCCTTACCTTACCTGCTTTTCTGAGGCTCTAGTCTGGCCGCTGGGAGGTCAGCCTCAAGGTCGGGGTCCTGGGGACTGTGGTGTGGCAGAAAAACTAGGCCAGCGGGCCCCTTGGCACCCCTCCCGCCAGGGTGGTGTCTGCGTGAACCTGACCCACATGGACCGAATCCTGGCGCTCAATCCAGAAGACTTCTCTGTGGTGGTGGAACCCGGCGTCACGCGCAAAGCACTCAACACCCACCTGCGGGACTGTGGCCTCTGGTTTCCTGTGGGTAGGCTGGGGCTTGAGGCCCTTCCTTGGGGCCCTGAGGGCTCCCTGGAGGGAGGACTCTTTCTGGGGCTTGAGGGGACCCCTCTGTCCCTCGGCGCCAGTCCCAGGCTGCCTTCCGCCCGCCCTCTGCTCCGCAGACCCCGGTGCGGATGCCTCTCTCTGTGGCATGGCGGCCACTGCGGCCTCGGGCACCAACGCCGTGCGCTACGGCACCATCCGGGAGAACGTGCTGAACCTGGAGGTGGTGCTGCCCGGCGGGCGGGTGCTCCACACCGCGGGCCAGGGCCGTCGTTTCCGGTGAGCGCCCTCTGCCTGCTGGGACTGGGGCCCCCTCCCTAGGTGGGCCAGGCTTCTGAAACGGTCACACGCGACAAAGCTGATGGTGCTGGGGTCTGTTCTTGCACGAGGCCGATGTGGGCTGCACCAGGGAACATCTGCCTTGACGGTGGTCTGGGCTGAGGGGCCCTGCTCAGACCTCGGGCCCCACACACAACCTGGCAGGGGCGCGGTGGGGGAGGGGACGGCGCCCCAGCTTCTAGCTCCAGGCTTCTGACCGCAAACCCGCTGTCATGGCCTGGGCACTCACCTACCTTGTGTGTCCCTGGGGGCCCAGGAAGAGCGCAGCTGGCTACCACCTCACCGGGCTGTTCGTGGGCTCGGAAGGAACATTGGGTCTCATCACAGCTGCCACCCTGCGCCTGCACCCAGTCCCCGAGGCCACAGTGGCCGCCACCTGTGCGTTCCCCAGTGTCCAGGCAGCCGTGGACAGCACCGTGAACATCCTCCATGCTGCGGTGCCCGTGGCCCGCATTGGTGAGATGGGAACGGGGCAGTCCAGGTGGGCTCCCCAGAAAAGGCCCCCTTTGAAGACCAGCCCTCACCTCACCTGCCATCTCCTTGGCCCCAGAGTTCCTGGATGAGGTCATGATAGATGCCTGCAACAGGTACAGCAAACTGAACTACCCTGTGGCACCCACACTCTTCCTGGAGTTCCACGGCTCCGAGCAGGCGCTGGCAGAGCAGGTGCAGCAGGCAGGTATATGAGGTACTGTGGGGCAGGGGCACAGGTGCCCACAGCAGGGCCTGGTGTCAACTCCCCTGCCCCCACAGAGAAGATCACTCAGGACAATGGAGCCTCCTGCTTCTCCTGGGCCAAGGAGGCAGAGAAGCGAAGCCAGCTCTGGGCCGCCCGGCACAATGCCTGGTACGCGGGCCTGGCCCTGCGGCCGGGCAGCAAGGTGAGCTGGGCTAGGGGGAGGTAGGGCCCACGGCTGAGCCCATGGACCCTGTGCTCAGCCCCCTGTGCTGGTGTCCGGAGAGCAGGCTGAGGCCCAGAGTGGGCAGGACCGCTCCCACCGAGCTGTTCCTCACTATTTGGAGGAAAGCAGCCATCTGCCAAACCCTGGGGAGGGAGCCTCTGCATTGAGCCAGGTTGTGGGCACAGGGACGGGTGGGAAATGGAGGGGATGGCACTGGCCGGGGTGGGGAGCAAGGACAGAGCTGTGGAAGTCTCTGCTGGCAGCGCCTAGAGAACGTGCCCAGCCATCACCTTGTTGTATAGGGGAAACTGAGACCTAGAGAAGAGCAGACAAATTTATGTGTGAGAGGCCAAGCCCTCTAGGACCTGGCCCCAGGGACCCCTTACCTCTAGGCCGGGGGTGAGGGGAGAACCTCACAGGCCTGCCCTCTCTCCAGGGCTATGCCACTGATGTTTGTGTTCCCATCTCCCGGCTGCCGGAGATCCTGGTGCAGACCAAGGAGGACCTGAAGGCCTCGGGGCTCACAGGTTCTGCCTGCCCACTGCTGGAGTCTGGGAGGAGAGGGTGGAAGGCTGAGCTGGGGACAGCAGCTCTGTTCTCTGGGCCCCCCAGGATGCATTGTGGGACACGTGGGCGACGGTAACTTCCACTGCATCCTGATAGTAGACCCGGAGGACGCTGAGGAGCTCCGCAGGATTAAAGCCTTTGTACAACAGCTGGGCAGGCAAGAGCAAAGCCTGGGCCAGGGAGGTGGGGGCGGGCTGACAGGAGTGGGCGGAACACCCAGCTGATGGTCTCTTCTCCGCTGTTCCCAGGCGGGCCCTGGCACTCCACGGGACGTGCACTGGGGAACACGGCATTGGGCTGGGCAAGCGGCAGATGCTGCAGGACGAGGTAGGCGCTGTGGGCATGGAGACCATGCGGCAGCTCAAGGCCACACTGGACCCTCGAGGCCTCATGAACCCAGGCAAGGTGCTGTGAGGGGCACCCAGCACCTTGCCCACAGGCCCAGAGGCCCATGGAGCAGCCCATTTGGACTCTGTCTTCACACCACAGAACGGCTCTGCCTCGCCTCCTGTCTGCAGGAGACCTCGACCGGAGGAGGGGAAGGAAGCCCGAAGGCCTGGCTCTTCCCTGGCCCCTGGCTGTCCTCGGGAGTCTTTGGTCCATTAAACGGCTCAGGGTCACTCCTGGTGAAGCAGTTTCCTCTCTGCTCTCTTACACATCCTGTTCTGTGGGTGGGGGTCGCCCCAAGGACTAAGACGACTCCCCTCCATCCAGGCCTCCCCACTGCTGGGAGCCCGGACAAAGCCCGAGGAACTGAGTACCCTTCGCCCTGCTCCATCTGCCTGCTGACAGACACACTCCTTCCGTGTGGGAAGGGGCTTGAGAGTTCTCTCTGGGGCCCCCAAATAAACCGGAACCCCATTTTCGGCTGTCTGGAGACGAGCAGGCAGTGCCTGCGAAAGGCTTCCTGCGCCTGCCCCTGCTCCTCCCAGGTCATTTGGCCAGACACCCCCATCCCTCGTTCCAGACCTGTCCTTTGACTTACTGCAGCCCATGGAGGGGCTGGTGCTCAGGCTACAGGCGAAGGTCTCCTCCAGGAACCCAGGTCCCTGTCCCAACTGCTCTGCTGATAGGAGGAAGCCCAGGGCCTGAGGACTTCACCATGGCCAACATCAGCTGTGGCAGACTCCTCCACTGAGCCCCAACTGGGACTTAGAACATTGCAAACATATTCTTTAAGCAGCTGCTACCAACCACGGGAAGTGGAAGTGAAGTTATTCTCATACCACACATCTCCAGGCTATGACATTATACTCCCAGATCTTTTGCCCTCAGTCAGAATCTGTCCACCAGGTGGCGTGCCTCCTGCCTTGGGATCCCAGGCCAGAGCTACTGCCTGGGTTACCTGAGTTGATCCCCTTAAACCCACGAGAGGGCGCCACACACCATAAGCTCAGACACCACAGCAACTGCTGGGGCAGCAGCGCCAGGCAAGCCAGTCTCTAAACTCTCCACCCCCTGCACGTCCCACGGTCTTTTTGTGTGGGACCAGATCCCTCACCCTCTGGCCCCTTAAGAAAAGGAGCTTGGCCACCAAGCAGGAGCACTCTCCTTCTAGCCTCACTCTACGTCCCAAGCTACCTCTCAACTCCTTCCCTGCCTTCCCCTCAACCCCTTCACATCTTCCCATCAGCTGTTCACACCCTGGGCAGAGGCAGCCCATTGTGACTCCTCACTCCTTGGTTTCGGGAACCCTTCTTCTGTGACTTTTCTGTCCCCCAGCTGCCCTGGATCGGAGCAGAAGCTATGCCAAGGGGCAGTGTGGGGCGAGTCTCTTAGCTCCCTCCCCAAACCACCCCACACAGGTCAGCCTTGTGCATTCCACCCGAGACACAGCTCACTAGACCCCACCCCTGTTCAGGAGGAGTGGGCTTCCCCCCTCCGGGGCAGGGGTCCTCTCCGATACGTCTCCCACTGCCTGGCAACCAGTAGGTGCTCAGCAAAAGACCGTTTCCCCATAACTTTTTATTAGGAAAACTTCCAAACACACAGAAGGGTTGAAAGAACAAGTACACTATTCATTAACATATCAGCCACTGAAGAGTCAACAATGAATATTTTTGTCCTATTTGCTGTATTTTGAAGAAAGCCATTTGAAATTAACATATTTCTTGGCATCATTTGCCTACATAATTCACCATCTTTCTCCTAAGAATAAGGACATTCTCTTAAAAACCTGAACATTAAATGCCACTAGGTGATTTTATACCAGTGAGGTGCTCTGGTCCAGGAAGCCCCACAAAGGGAGTGGGTGGAGCCTACCTCCCAGCTCCTCACCATCCCCTCCCCTCCAAGGGGCGAGAGCTGTCCAGATGGAAGAGGACAGATACCAGCTCTACCTGGGACACCCAGGCACCCACCCCACCCCTAGGAGTTGGCAGTCTAGGTCTGAATTTGGAGGACTGCGGTGTGCCAGGTGGGAGTGAAAGTCACTGGGTGGGGGTGTGGTTAACATCAGCCCCAGGAGCCTGGAATAGCACCTGGCATGGGCTCCAGCCCGGTCCCACCTGGCTCACAACCACTCAGTTCAGCCAGGATGCTGCCAAGGACTCCAGGCCTAAGCAACTGAGGTGGGCATACAGCCCTCTGCCTGCAGGCCCAGGGGTCAGACAAGGAGATCTTCGTCAGGGCCAGCTTTGCTGGAGAAATTAAATATAGAACAGGGAGACACAGTTGCCAGGCAGAAGCAGGCGGTGCTGTGAATAGAACAATGCTCTTTGCAGTGACGAGGCTCCGAGGGAGCCTGCTATGCGTGTGCCAGGGGCTTCTGGGCAGACTTCCTGACCCTCACCATGACCTTTGAGCTGCATGGCCTGGTCCCCATGCAAGGAATCTGAAGTTCAGACAAATGAAGCCATTCTGCCGAGAAGCAGGGGAGCCACGTGCGGACAGTGCGGAGTCCATGTTCTAGAGGCTGCCACGGCGATCACTGGTCCCTGGGGTCTCTGCTTCAGGCCTGACTCCAAGACCCAGGCTCAGACCCACGTATTCTTCTCTGGTGTTTCTCTGGACGTGCCGAACGTGCCTGTCCCTCAGCTCACATCTGCCCACCGGCCTGCAACGCCCTTGCAGAGCAGGGGCTTCAAAGAGCACCTGACAGAAGCCGGCTGCAGAACGGGGCCTGGCAGGGTCAGAGCCCACAGGGGCGACAGCATGTGGACGCCTGAGAAGCGCAGAGAAGGTGTGGAGTCGTCTCCCTCCGGAGGCTTCCTTCACAGACTCCGCAGGAGGCTCTGGCATGCCGCTCCGGGAGCCTGCCTGGCACAGGGGCAGAGGCCGGGTGCGCACTGTTACCCACTGCCCTGAGCTTCCTGCCCAGCACGAGCTGTGCCAGCTCCTGTGGGCCCCGTGTGGCTCTGAGTTGGCTTTGCCCCAAAACAGGGCCTGTTTCTGGGCTTCGGTGAAGCATGCCCATGAGTCAGCACTGAGCAACAGGCAGGCAGGACATGGGACCCGGGACGGGAAGGGGGAGCGGAGGATGAAGGGGGGCAGGAGGGTGGGGTGCTGGGCCAACACCTGTGAGAGCCCACATCCTCGCAGCCGCCAGTGGCTGAAGACCTTTGCGGCTGCAGATCTTGCGGAATTTTGTCACAACCACTCCACAGGTGATGGCAGACCGATTCTGTGATGCTTGAGGGTTGGCAAACCTGGGGGGCTGGTGTCTGGCCTGCCACATTCCCTCTGTGACTGCTCTGAGAACCCCATCCCTCCTACAGCCCCCAATGGCACTCTGAAGGAAGGCTCAGGAGGGAGGGGGTGGGAGACAGGGCGTCCAGACCCCATTTCCTGACTGTGCAACACCATTAAAATAAAGTCACACAATGCATCTTTTATTAGACATGATTTTAATACCATATCAAAACATCTTGACTAATGAAGAAAGCTTTCCCCCAAGCTTTGAACAATTTTTAAACATTTTATAAGGTTTTTCTTTGTATTTTAATATATAAATACAGAAACCTATCTTGCATGGGCTGATGCCACGTGTGAACATCGAGGGCTAAAATGTTCTCAAACAGAGTGCCTGAAAACGGGTCGCTGTACACATCCCTTTAGTAAGTCTTCTGTTTGTCTGTTTTAAGTTTTCTGGGGGAAAAAATCCACAAGGGTCTAAGAAAAATGTTCAGGCATTTTTGCAGGACACTTGTGATTGTTAAGTCCTCTGAACTGACCAGAACCAGGAGGGAGGGAAGGAGGGAGAAGACTCGGGAATGGAGAGGGAGGTCTTCCACGGGTTTTTGTGGGGTTTTTTTGGGCAATGAAGTCAAAATCTCAGGGTCCCAAGGGGAGAAAAGTGCAAAACCAAGCCAGAAAAATGGACAAAGAAAACCAGGGCAGAGTGGTCGGTTATGGACAGGGCCGAAATGACGGGCGCCGGGCACAGGGGCTGTGCGTGCGGGCTCCCGCGCCACCAGAACGCGCCCCTGGGGACCTGCTCTGTCACCGAGCGGGCGCTGGCGGGCGGCAGACAGCGATCTGTAAACATCACGGAGGAAAACACCAGTCGACACTAGACTTTTTTTTATGATTTTTTTTTGTAAACACTTTAGAGACAGCCCACAGTGCCTTTCAAAGGTGAACAAGAAAATGCCCTTTCCCTCCTGGGACGAGGGGTGAGGGGAAGGATGGCGGTCGGTTCTTCTCTCCAACTCGTGGCTCATCCAATTCGGTATCCTCAGGGAGAAAGGGAGAACCATCCTCTGGAAGTCAGTGCGGTAGGGGTGCCCCGTTCCCACTGGTGTTCCCCAGCTCAGCTCTGCCCCAGTGTCCGCGGCCTCCGCTCAGGAACAAGGCTGGCTGTCCCTGTGCGGACCACAACACGTCAGCCGTGCTCCCGTCCGGCTGACACCAGCGCGCGCGTGGCCGGCCGAGGCCTGGCAGAGGCGCCTGCGGTTCCGTGAGTCTGGCCAGAGGAGGCACGGGCAGGGCCCGGGATCTGGACTCGCCCCCCAGCGCCAGGCTCCACGCCCTCCACCTCACTCATCCTCGCTGCTGCTTCCCCCCACGCCCTCAGTTTCCGAGGTGAGGGTACAAAGGGCAAATGTCCCTGATCTGTCTGCCGTCGCCAGCTGTTCTGGGGGTTTACTTGGAATAAATAAAATAAACCTAACAAAGAACAAAAGAAAACAAAACAAACAAACAAAACGAGAGAGAGAGAGAGAGAGAGAGAGAGAGAGAGAGAGAGAGCAGAAAAAAGGCCCAAAACCTCTGGGTGTGAGAGGAGGTGGAACCAGGGCTGTGGTTTCCCTGGGGGTCTTGTCTGCTTCCAGTAAAAAGGAAGTGTCAGCCCAGAACTCGGAAGGGACATATAATGTGGGGGACAGGAGAGGACGGTCAGCAGTAGAGCAGGTGCCCTGGGGAGGAAGGTTCCAGAGGGGGAGCATGTGTGCACACTTCGGGGGGGAAGACGCCTGACTGGCCGGCTGTGGAATCCGGGGCCCATGCTCGGGGCGGCGGGCTGAGTCTGGCCGAACCAGCAGCAGACCGCCGACGACTACGCAGAGGACAGCACGCTGTCCCACAGACGGTCTCGTTTCCGAGCGTGAGGTCTGTACGGGGGCGGGGGAGGGGAGCGAGGACCTGCCCCGCCTGCTCAGCAAGCGCGGCGCAGGTGCAAGCCCGGGGTCCCGGGCTCGTGCGGCTTCTCCCACCTGGCACATGCCAAGGGGGTCTTCCTGCACCCTCACCAGGGAGACTCGCCCTAGATGTCTGGAACAGACTGGTCTCTCCCCAAAGAATCCGTGTACCGAGCAGGTTTTTCTTCATAACCATGCAAGGCTGTGTCTCTTAGCCTTCCCCCAACCACACCCCTGCCACAGAACCCCTAACTGGTAAGGTGCTCCCTTCCCCCAGGGTGTGTTAAGGGCAACTCAGCCCCCACCCCCAGGCCCCAAAACCTCGAGCCCAGAGTCCCCCCCCCCAACCCCCGCTCACCTCTGAGAGGAGTCGGCAAGCAGGCCCAGCAGGGTCAGTCCGCCGGGTGCTCTGGACAGGATCTGTTCACTTCGAACCACGAGTCTATGCAGCTGAGGTGGGAGGCGGCAAGGGGACACACGTTACCGCTGACTGGCTGCTCCCTGGGGAACTCGCTCGGAGGGTCAGGGTTCTGAGCAGGGGTTCCCTTAAACCTCGCCTGCGGGGACCCCAGGGGAAAGCAAGCATGTGCCCAGATACCCACTTTCTGAAGCAGGAAGAAGGCAGAACACCAAGGCTGATCTTGGCTCAGCCCGGACAGCCAGCCTGGCACGGTGGGTACACCGGCATCTCTGGATGCTGGAAGGGGGGGGGGGCCTTGAGAGGGATCAAGACCTCACCTGCACAGAGCCCAGGAGGACGGCCGTAGCTACTAGTGACTAGGGGAGAGTGCAGGGCAGCCTGTCCGCCGGCCCGAAGGCTTGAAGGGCAGGAAGAGGGACCCAGACCCGAAGGCTGGCCATCACTGACTCTGGGGACCCGAGAGAGCCCTCTCTTGGGTCAAAGGAGCAGCTTTGAGGGCCACTCCCCAGGTAGTGACTTCTTAGGGGACTCCCAAGCCACCTGGTTCTGTTGGCTGTGCTTGGCAGCCCACTCCGGGCCGCTCCCAGAGAAGGACAGCCCTTTGGCTTAGTGACACTGCTAAGCACAGCCAGACGGGAGGCTGACAGTGAAACCCTGGTCTCCGGTGTTTACAGAAAGAACTGTCTGAATCAGAGAGGGAACAGAGATTGCTCTGAGACAGCTTTCTGATTTGTAAACCAACATCTGGGTATTTTTAAAGACAGGGTCCAGATAGGCAAAATTCTCCCCAGAGCCAAAGGTTCCCTTCAGGTTCTGGTCCGTGCCTGGCCAGGACCCTGGAGCACTCTGTGTGGGCCCGGCCCCTGGCCCCTCCCCCAGGCCGACCTGGAGCCTCCCCTGCCTCGGCTATGTCTGTGTGCCAGGTACCACGGCTGCCCTGTGGCCAGCGGCTCTGTGAGTCAGGCTTTGGAAAAGCCCGTGCGTCAGAATGAAGCTGAGGCTCGAGGAGGCAAGAGCAGGTGGCAGCCACAGGCAGCACAGAGCGTCCTCCCGTCCTGGGTAGGGAGGTGTCTTCTTTCCAGCTGGAAACAAGAACGAGGCCCCTACTGGAGCCTGAGGACAAACCTCGGCCCTGCTAATTATAGCAGCTTCCAGTGCGCGGCCCCACAGGTAGTGGCTGTCCCCGCCTCTCGGCTCTCTGAGGAGAAGGGGGCGTATGCGGGGGCAGCAAGCACACCCCTCCCTGCTGCTCTCTCACATAACCGAGGGGCCTCACCCCGTGCAGCAGCGGGGTCCACGGAGGAAAAAAAGGCTTGGGGAGATGGATGAAGAATGAACCTGCCAAAGAAGGGAAACTTCGGCTCTGTGGGATCCTACGTGTCTCCAATCTGTGGAGCGCCGCAGGGCTCCCTATCATCGCCCACCATCCTCATGGGCCGTCAACTTGGAGCAAAAGCTCCGGCAGTTCGGCTCAGCCCTGTACTCAGCACGTCTGCTGGCCTCTGCCTTGACCCCCCTCACGTCCCGGGGGAGCGGGGACTTGCCCTACAGCCACAGGAGACAGAATGGCTAGTGATGAGGGTCTGCCCGTCTCCCCTGCCCACAGAGAAGGAAGGGGCCCTCTGGGGGCCGGGGTGTGGCTGCGCGGCCCTGCCGCCCCCACGTACCTTTTGTGATAAATGCACAGGCAGGGCAGCCTGGCTATCGTGTCCCCCTGAAGCAGCTCCTCCAGGCAGATCACACACTCACCCGCGTCTTTAGTCAGCACGTCGTCTGCAAAAGGGAACGGGGCCGGGGGAGAGGGTCAGTCCCCGGCAGACAGGTGGCACAAGGCAGGCACGGGTCTAGGACTGGGCGGGACTGCCTGGGTCACTCACAGTGTGCAAGGCACTGTGGGGGACACAGAAGCCCAGGGCGGACCTGGACCCGAAGGCCCTCGCTGCAGACACAAGACACGCATATCACACGTTAATCGTGCAAAGACAAAAGGGAGCCAATCACCAGCAAGTCACCCAGGGTACAGCTAGAGGGCTTGCAGAGGGACAGATGTGTAGCAGAGGCAGCACGAGGCAACCTGTCTCCCCGAAGAGACTTTTCCCCTGAACACACAGGCGGACCAAGTACACTGATTTCTGGTTTGGAAAAACACGGTGACGGCGAGAGTAGGACAGGAGTGTGAGGTAAGCCTGAGTGGAAGACACAGGTGCTCTCGCAAACCCTTGCACATACATGTCAACAGCAGCACTACTCACAACAGCCAAACGGGGAAGCAAGTGTCCACCAACTAATGAATTGATAAACAAAAGTGGTCCCCTGGCATGTGGCTCAGTGGATTGAGTGCTGGCCGGCAAACCAAAAGGTCACCAGTTCAATTCCCAGTCGAGGCACATGCCTGGGTTGCTGGCCAGGTCCCCAGTAGGGGGTGCATGAGAGGCAACCACACACTGATGTTTCTCTCCCTTTTTCTCCCTCCCTTCCTCTCTGTCTAAAAATTAAAAATAAACACATAAATAAACAGACAAACAAACAAATAAATAAAATCTTGCTAAAAAGTGGTATACCCACGCAAGGGAATATTACTCAACCATGAAAAGGAACGAAGAACCAACACATGCTACAGTACGAATGAACCTCAAAAATGTGACACTAAGTGAAAGAAGGCAGACCCAAAAGGCCACCTACTACAATGATTCCATGACATGGAATGTCTAGAACAGGCAAATTCGTCGAGACAAAGTGCAGACTGGGGCCAAGGGCAGGAGGGAGCGAGGAGTGACTACTCAACAGTAAGAGTTTTTCCTTTTTGTGTTACGAACGCCTGACATGAGATCTGCTGTCTTAACAAACTCCTAAGTGCGCAGTGCAGTCTTAACTAACTACAGGCACGAGGTTGTACAATGTCTCTAGGACTGACTCACCCTCCGTAACCGGGGCTTTATCCCCCCCCCCCCAGGAGCAACGCCCATTTCCCTCTCCCCTCAGCCTTCAGCAACCACCGCTCCGCTCCTGGTCCTGTGGGGTCGACTATCTCAACCATCACATACAAGGAAAATCACGTGAGACGTTTCTTTTTGGGGTGATGAAAATGCTTGTAACTAGATAGACATGGTAGTGGTATGACACTGTGAATGTTATAAATGCTACCAAATTGTAAAACTCAACTAAAAAAAAAAGAGAGAAAGAGGCCTCCCACCCCCACACCAAAGAGAATGAATGGGAGGAAGCTACTGCATGTGCCCCAGCGGGCCCCAGTGACGCCGTGACCAGAGGAGCCGAGCAGAGCAGAGAGGACACCGCAGCCCAGTCAGCAGCCCTTCACCACCTTCTGCGACGTTCTGGGCACTGGAGACCCAGTGAGTAAGCCACCGACTCAGGACGCAAGGAGCTCACGGTCCAGCAGGAGAGGCTGACCAGGACCACGGAAAGGAACGGCACAGGGACTTCCAGGGAGTCCTATGATGCACACGGGCTCAGGTGTGAGAGGCAGGAACGACGCCTAGTCAGGGTGGGGACCGTTCAGGGAAGGAGGTTCCAGGCGAAGGGAACCGTGTCTGTGCACCTGGGAACAGCGGGAGGCGTGCAGATGCCCGGGCCGTGGGGGCTGGGAGCATGAGACCAAACCCGTGTCCTTGGGTTTCATCTGGTTGACTGACGGGCCCTGGAGACCCACTGCGACCACATCAGGTCCCCGGAAACCGCGGGGGCAGGGCCCGGAAGAGCCCACGGATGGGAGCGCGTCCGGGACGCCTGCACTGGCAGTGGGGGCGGGAAGAGAGGGAGGGTGCGCTCCCCACGGCGGCTGGGCGAGTGACAGGCACTTGTCACTAAGAGGGGAAACGCAGGAGGAGGAAGAGAAGCACGGGGAGGAAACGGTGAATTCAGAGCTGGGTGGGAGGTGCGGGCCAGGCATCTGCCCTGGGGCACGCTAATGGAAATGTCTAGGAATCTGTTCGTCTGCATCTGGGGTTTAGAAAGAGATGTAGGTGATAGGTCATAGATGTGACATAAAGCGACAGTCTGGGAAGAACGCTTAGATTGAAATACAAAGGAGGCAGAATATGAACCTTAATATCCGAAAGGCCGGTGAAGAGGCGAAGTACACTAAGGTTACCCAGAAGGCCTCAAAGCCACAGGAGAAAACCCAAGAGGGCAGGGTTACGGATGGGAAGAAAGGAAAGCTTAAAACAGGGTCAATCCTCCACGACTAAGATTGTAACTGTTCGTGAACGTTGTCCGTGAAACATGCTAAGATTTCGTGTGTGTGTGTGTGTGTGTGTGTGTGTGTGTGTGTTCCCATGAGCCTCATGATCTCAGTAGCTCGGCAGGGCACACGGCAGCGCTCCCACTTTGTGAATGGAGACACAGAGACCAGACGCCTTGCCCAAGGCGGATGGCTCAGGAAGGCTCCCTCCCTCGTGCAGGCCTGGGCCCCTGACTGGTGTCCTCCCCCAGGGCTGTTTCTCTGTGCCCGCTGATTACTCGGGTGGGGAGAGAAACATCTGAAGCCAATAAAATGAGGATTCTTCGAGGCCCAGAAGACTACGGTGACCCAAAGCCCCTCACCAGGAACTCCGAGGAAAAAGCCCAAGATAAAGCGGACTCAGTACGTCAGTTCCCAAGCTCGTGAGTCACGCACATGGAGACGGGAGAAAAGCCACTCTCAGCTTCTTGGCCACCGGACAATCTGTGGTCATTTTGCTGCCTGTTAACCCAAAGGCGCTTGAGGCCCCTGGGATGGGGCTTGGAGCCCGACCTTGCAGGGAGGCCAGCAATGTGTGCACCCAGCGCAGGGCCGGGTGCGGCCCCTGCCCAGGGTGGGAGGCAGGAACTTGCCGGGGTGGGTCGAGTAGAACTGCCCGTCCTGACCCTGGGGCCCTGGAGGTCAGCAGCCCCCAGGCGTCTCTGGGAGCCCAGCAGGGGAGAGGAAACGACCAAAGCTGAAGCTCGGCTGTCAGCCGGGGTCCTACGAGAGTTCCACACCCTCAGGTGGGAGCCTGCTGCCCGCTGGGGGAGGGCCTCACGGCACAGAGCCAAGGATGCTGCCTGACCTGACGCAGGTCGAGGCCACTCTGCAGATGGACTCACATGCCCCTCGGCATCCCTAGGTCCCCAGAGGAGGGGGCTCAGCCAGTGCTTGTGGATGAGAATGCAGGAACAAAGCGGTGCTTTCTGCCTTCCTCTCACTGCCGCCCAAACCCCTTCCGAGCCTCCCGATGTCCTCAGGGAGGCCTGTGTGACTGGCTGAGGGGGAGTGTGGACGTGTCTGGCCAGGCTGGGGCTGATGCTAAATGATGCCAATGCCTGTTCCTCCAACCAGGCCAGGGAACCAAACTGGTGTGACAGGCAAAGTTCTCTAGACGCAAATTGGGATGCCCCCAGAGACGCTGGTGGTGGCAAGGAGAGGGTGGGAAAGCCCAGAAAGCTACAGATACATTTCTGCCACCAGCCAGGAGGGAAGGCTGATAGTGTGCAGCTCACAGCAGTAGCTAAGCGTGGGACTGTACATAATACATTTTCCCTTGTGCCTGACGGCAGGCAAAGCCCTCCCTGGTAGGAAGGGAGGTGGGGCCAGAGGGAGAACCCCCAGCAAATGCCTCGGAGACACAGACTCCACCCCCTGGCCTCATTTTCAGCCCAGGTGCGGGGGAGCCTGCTCGTGCAGAGGTGCTGGTCTGGTCCACTGGGAGGCAGGAAAGGGCAGTGCCCAAAACACCAGGGCTTGCCAGTTCCATTCCTGGGGAATCCCTAGGCAAAGGGGGATTTCTTTAAGCAGAGAGAATTTCCCTACCCAACACCCCAGGACAGTGAGGCGTGACCCAATTGCTTTGGCTTGGTGAGGGGGGCTACTATGATGACCACCCAGAGGAGTGAGCCAGTAAAACTCAGGTCCAGAGGGCTGCAGTCACCCCGTTCAGCACCCTCCTTGGCCTCCTTCCCTCTCACCCACTCCTCATTCACCCAGCAGCCCGGCCTGCCAATCAGCAGCTGCTGGGAACGCCCTCCTCCCTGCCCTCCTGTAGGAGGGACACCAGGACAGACACCTCTGCAGCCAGACTCGGCAGCTGCTACACAGTATCTAACAAGAGCTCCTGTCCCCCCCAGACCCAAGAAAAGGCATTCCCATCCCAAATACAGGGTCTCGGTAGACACCGGCCAAACAAGCACCAGTTCCCCACATCTGCTGGCTTGGCTTCGAGGAAACTAGCAGCAAGCTTTCCTGCTTTTAGGGGAACCACATTCCCCAGCCTTGAAACCCTGTGCGACATTCAGCGTTTCAAGAGCCCTGAAGTTGAGGACAATGACCTCTGGCAGACAGGAGGGGAGGGCAGTTAGGACCTGGAAGAAGCAGGGCATGGGGTCTGCGCCCCCAGACAAAGCTGAGAAAAAGAGAGAATCTTCTGAAGCTGCTCCTCCCAGCACCACCAGGCTCCCCTAATACTGCAGGGAAGGAACCTGCCCACACCGGGGTGTCCCAGGGCCAGGAGGCTCTGGCTGGCCCGGGAACCAGGGCTCCCTATGCTTTCAGGGGGCAGTCGGTCATTTGTTATGCCCCTCCCCTCCCCTGTATTCGCCTCTTCTGTTCACAACATCAGGTCCCCCACCCGAGGCTCGCTCTGCCAGATGAGCAACCTGTTGGCCAAAATTTGAGTGCATATATTCTTGAGCTCCCCAGTCTCAGAACCACAGACAGCTGTTGGAAAGGGAGGAAAATTAAAAGGACCATTTGAGCTGACCACATTTACCCACAAAAACGGGCCCCTCCAACTCCCTCTGTATCCCCTAGGAGCCCGGGCTCCAGAGCCGTGCGGGAAGGGGACACTGGAAGGGGACACTGGGAGGGGACAAGGAGGGATGTGACACCCAGTGCCCCAGGGTCTGGCGTGCCCCTGCCCCCCAGCAGGGGTTTGCACCGAGTGCAGGCTACTTGTCCGCACATTTCTCTAGAGCTCTGGACAAACCAGTTGAACTAGTCTTGCCTTCCCTAAATGTCTCTGTGTGTGTGTGGTTTGTTTTTTTTAATCTGGCAGATGGCTACTGGAGGCCTTCCAACCCACGCTGAGGCCAACCCTTATAATAAGAAAAATACTACTTTCTATCCTTCCTCATTCAGGAGGTTTCTACTTCTTTTCCTTTGGTGGTTAACTAAATTTCATCTTATGTAACCACTGTAAGTTTTCTAAAAAATTCCCCAATCGATGCCAGCAACTACAGAAAGTGTGTGTGTGGGTGTGTGTGTGTTTGTGTGTGCTCGCACGCGTGTATGGGAATCTCCGGGGGGGTGGCCAGGAGTTCTAGGGAATCTTCCTCAGAAAGCGGCACTTCTTCCTCCATCCGCCAGCAAAGCCTCGACCTGCCCCCTTCTGGAACGATTCTGAGAGCTCTGTGCTTCACAGACTCTTTTCCCTCACGTTGTTTTTTAAACTGGAAAGATAAAGTGAAGCCAGGAGGTGGGGATGATAAGAAGCCATGGGTAAAGTATGTCACTGACGAACCCCAAACGAACGCCGAGAGTCCTGATGGGGGCTCGGCCCGAGGGCCCCGAGCGGCCCCTGAACGCGAGCAGGCCCCGGACCGGCCCTAGGGACCGCCGCGCCACACACAAACCCCAGGGGGTTGCCGCCTTCTGCCCTGGAAGGTCTGGGAGTCTTCGGAAAAGACCATGTGAGGAGTCCAGCCACAGGCCTCCTTTTCCCGTTGACAGCGCACGCAGGGGGGCCCGACCGCTGTTCCCAAAGCACCTCCGTCACCCTCTGACGAATCCCACAGAGAGGACCCGTGCAATATGCCCTCTCTTTGCTTTTGGCGGCAAAGGAGATCCTTGAGTGTAGTCTCCAGTTTGTTCACACACACACACCCTAAGGAGGTGGCTTTTCCATGAGAGGAGGAGAAAAATGGGACCAGAATGGGAACAGCCACAGTAACGTCTCAGGTTGCTTGGCCAACCTCCTTGTCCTCTAAGGGGACTGGACTCTCCCCCTGAGTGCAGGTGACCGGTGCTCGGACTGGGCTGCCTGCTCTCCTAGGACGCGACGGTGAAAGGAAAGGGGGACCCTTCCCCAGGGCGCGGTTAGGCAGAGACTGATGGGCAGCGCCGGGCAGCTCTCGGGGACAGAGCCCCAGAGAGCCCTTCCCCGCGCCCCGAACGGGGCCAGCGGGTGCTCCGTTCTCAGGCGGCCTCCGGGGCGCTCTGCCCTGCACCGCTGCCTTTGCAAAGTCCTCCCGGGCGACACCGAGAGCCCAGGCCGCTCGGGCGAGCCCAAGCGGAGGCTGCTCTGTGTTCTGATGACACAGGCAGAGTCTGCGGAGACCGCGCTCAGCAGCCCACAGGACAGAAAGCGGCCTCCATGGGGGCTCTGCACACCGTGGAAAAGCAGCGGGCCCGGTGTACGAGGCCGTGGTCGGGGAGCAGTCTCCTCTCGGTCCGCGGTCCCAGGCCGAGGGCAGGAACGGAACGAGGCAGAGCTGGAGCAGCCTCCAGGGGGCGCACCGACAAGTCCACCGGGAGGTCCCGCATGCGTGCGTGAAAACAGCGGGACAGGGAGAGGCGTCCCCGGGGGAGAAGAGGGTTCCCGGACACTGGGAGAGTGTGAAGGGAGAGAAACGCTAGGGACAGAGGCAGGGCCACAGTCTCCCCTGTGGCTGGCGGCCCTCCCCACAGCGACGGCTACCAGACCGCGTGTCGCTGAGACAGGAGGGAACCGGCCGCCCGCCCGCACCGAGTCTTCTGGCGGAGCAAGTACACGAGAGATGAGACAACAGTAGGACGTGTTTCCAGGAGAACCAAGCGGAGCAGAGTCGTCGGGTTTGTTTCACAGGAAAGATCTGGACTCAGCAGGCCTCCCCGGGATAATGCTGGGTGGGGGGAGGAGTGCATGGGGGTCTGAGGAGGGAGGAGCCTGTAAAAAGGCCACCCAGGGAACTTTCACCATTGGGATGGGGACGGAGCAACCCAGGCTCACCTCCCGTCCAGGCCTCAGACGCTCTGAGATGTCACAGAACTCGCTTCCTAAGCACTGCTGTGACTTGAGTCCCAGACAGTGGGCCCAGAGCCAGGGTCGGGGCGCACCCCGCTAGATCCAGTGCCTGTTCTTGTGGAGGACACAGTCCTCTGACGGACGTGGTTTGGGGACCAGATGGAGCACGTAAGAACAGAAAACCAGACTGCCATCTGCAGCGCAGGGCGCAGGGGCCAGTCCGCTCTGCAAAAGGATGAGGAGAGGCCCACGGACGGGCTCGCCTCTTTCAGGGCTACTGCAGCTTTCCAAGCACTGACCATGCGCCAGGCTCTGTGCCGAAGGGTTGTGTACATGTAACATCTGCCTTACTTTATTATGACAAAAATCCTATGGAACAGACACTGGCATCCCCATTTTGTGGGCCAGAAAACCGAGGCTCTGCTAACTAAGCAACTTGTCTAGGATAATACAGTCAGCAAGTGGAAGAGGCAGGCTTTGAACTCAGATCTGCAAGGCTCCAAACCCTTACCCACGCGCACCAGGCAGATGCCGACACCCCTACTGTCCAGAGGTGCCATATCACGAGGATCCGGGCTTCAGGAACCCCTGGCCTGGTTTCCCACCCCCTGTGTACTCGGTGCTCAGCCCGGAGGCGGCCTCCACGCCAGGAAGCGGCGCGGCCCTGGTGGAGCGACCAGGAGGCAGCTCGGTGCTTTCACTCCCTAAAGGGTGCCCACACACTGCACTCAGTCTTTCTCGGAGAGTCGGGGCTCACACGCTCCATGCGACCTCTGGCACAAACTCCCTGCCCCCGCCCCGGAGAGAGGTGATACACCCTCTGGACCCTCTGCTGTCGGGTGTGAGAATGGGCAGGAGCTGTGTCCACCCAGTCAGGGGTCCGAGGAACCAAGGGGTGGGGAAGAAAGGGCAGAGGGACTGAGTGACCCAAGAGACTTCCTGGCACCTTGGACCTGACCCCTGGGGCCTTCCTTTCTTGTCCCATTCTTCCTCCTCGCTGGCCAGTGTAGTGAGACTTCCTGAGTAGCCAGGTCTCCCATCACCACTGAGGAATTCCTGCTGGAAGGCGGATGGAAACGCTGCCCAGAGCCACATGGGGTGCGGAAGACCTTCGCTCAGAGGCTCCCGGCCGAGCCCTTACCGTTGTAGGAGAGGCGAGGTTTGCTCAGACACATTATAAAGTGCATTTCCATCTCATCGGAAGCCACAGACTTGGAGCAAATGGGGCACTTGAAACCTGAAAAAGAGGAAAATGGGATGAAATGTTTTCTCCAAACCAAGTACATTCATTATAAATGCGGACAGTCTTAAATGACAACGGCCATGTGGCCCAGAGTCGACACGGAGAATTCAAACCCAGACACATCCTGGAATTGATTTCTCCTTCACTAAATCACCCCCAAATTTGTTATTTTATCACAGCTCCCGACTCCCATTTTTTCACTAGTGCTCCCCCAGCCATACGCCCCTCGTGTAGTTCATCAGCAGTCGCTGACAGCTGAGTGGAGTTCTATTTTCTTTTGGGCCCCTTCCCAAGGAGGGCGCTGGGAATAGGCAGGCATCGAATGCGGGCAACTGAATCATCTGAACAGCAGACCACTGGACACCCTCCCACCGCACTCGGCCCACCACGTGGCTGGGCGTCCTGTGGGGGGAGGGGGGAAGTCCCGCTGTCATCGGCACTGCCACCCCTCACCCGGAGCACCTACGCCTCCCCCCGCGGCCAAGGCAGCTGTCTTCTGACAGTGTGTGGGCAGTGGGGTGGCCCGCCAGGGCGCTCCCGAATGCCACACGTGCCTTGGCCATACGCCACTGAGAGTAACAGCTGTGTCACAACCCCAGGCGAACACAGGGCTCTGTTTCCGAGTGGAGACTGCTTCCATGGCCCGGGGGTTTCGTCAGAACCCTATCAGCACCGGGGATTTCGCTGCAGACTCTCCTGAGCTCAGCTCCACGGAGCAAACACGTTCCTTGATTTATCTTTGATAAACAATTTTTAATGGATAAACACAGATAAACCATTTCCAATTTCCTCCATTTTACTTTTATTGAAATTGTTTTCGAATGGATTCTTTCCCATTCTACCAAAAAAGATCTGACACTGTTAAAGAGTTATTGTTGTGAAAATCTAGCTCTTGTTAGTTTTTAGTCAAAGTGTTCCACGCGCAGTTTTACTGGATGCTGGTAACACGTATGAGCAACATTTCTTATGAAACAGATACAAGGCTGAGGGTGCGTGTGGACTGTTCACTGCTCCAGGGCGGAGGCGAACTCCTCCCCTGCACTGGGGTCTTCCCTCTCCCTGCAGCCCGGGGGGCGGGCTGTGTGGGAAGCCCCAGGCACTGACAGTGGGCGCTGCGGAGACAGGAAGCCAGCCCACTCCCACATTCCATGCAGGTCACAAGCACTCTGCTTCAAGTCTTCCCCAAACCCTCCTCTCCCTTCAGTGACAACTCTGTGAACTACAGGACCAAACAGAAAATCCAGGGTCTGCTTTAACACGGACAGAGTGGGCTTTGGAATCTGGGGTGCAGACCCGGACCCCTGACACACTTCCTCCAAGATCCTCAGCAACTAAGCATCTCAGCTGAAGAGTCTGAGAAGTGCTACCGACCCGAGGACTCTGGCCAAGCTTGGAGAAAGTGCCGTATTTGCTGATCTCTGTGTGGGTATGAGTCCATTAATAACAAAACCAGAAGGCTGAAAAGAAACACGGTGGGAAGGGCCCATGCCTAGTTTTCAGGCAAAATTGCATCTCAAATGTGCCAGGCTGGATTCTTTCCTAATCCAGTTCGGAAATCTGCACGCGTGGTGGGCAGGTGAGCAATACACCCGAGTCTTGCAGAAGGAGGGTGTCCTCACATCCGACCTCATCATGCCTGTGCCCTGCGAAGAAACCTGTACTTACAGGAAACACCTTCCAGGGTGACCAGCCATTATGAGATTGCCTCACCTTTTGTTCTGACTAAAAATACCATAGGTTTGCAACAGTTTAAGTGACTACAGGACACTTCTACTTAAAACTTGCTAAGTCAGCACTCTGTCTGCCGGCTGAGTCCCTGGGAAATGTTAAAGTGATTTGTCACTAATAAAAAGCCTCACACTTTCTTCACGTTCCTGGTAACTTAGAACAGATGCATGGTTATCAGTCCCTGCACCCCAACGGGATTGTTTGGGTGAAGGAGAGGGGGCGAGTTACAGTTATGGGGCTGGGAAGTGAGCCACCCAACCAGATCTACAAAGGAATGTCACTGAACATTTACGTCCTAGAAAAAAACAAGCTGAGACTCAAAGGTTTAGACCAGTCCCTCATTGTACAGATAAAGAAAGAGAATCAGTCAGGCCATCAGGTCAGACTAAGGGAGTGGGGCTGAGACTAGAATCAGATCTCTTAGCTCCCAATCGGAAGTCCTTTCCACCAGAGGAAAGTTGTTCGCAGGTGTGATACTATGATTCACAATAAGAAATAAATACTTGGTCTTTGTCCCATTTCTGACACAGAGCTTCTAAAACTCCTGGAATTTCCTAACATCCCAAGATGAGTAACATTTGGTCTTTTGTCATCGGTTCCTGAAATAGCTCCCGAGCCATAGCTGACGTCATAAACAAGCCTTTTTCAATCACCCCAGGGTTTATATGAATGAAGCGACTTGTGGGCAGTCCCTCAGTCAACTAAGGATAGGGGCTGGCTGCCAGGGGATCCCCCAGCGGGTCAGAGGGCTGGAACGCTGAGTTCCACCCTGCCCCCCGACCGCTAGGGAGGGCAGAGGGGCTGGAGTTGAGCTCAACCACCAATGGCCAATGATTCAGGCATGGCTGTGTAATGGAGGCTCCGTAAAAATCCAAAGGGACAGCGTTCCGACAGCTTTCTGAGCTGGCGAACAAGGAGAGATTCGGGGAGAGTGGTACCCCTGGGCAGGGCTCGGAAGCTCCGGGCCCCTTCCCCACACCTGCCCTGTGCATCTCTCCCACCTGGCTACTCCTATCCCTTTATAATAAACTTGTAATCCGGGGGTTAAATGTTTCTCTGAGAGATCTATGAGCTGCTCTAATAAATTAAGTGGAAGTGAGGAGGGGATGGTGGGAACCTCTGGTTAACAAGCAGCTGGTCAGAAGCACAGGTGACGGCAGCGTGGGCTTGTGACTGCTGTCTGAAGTGGCGGGAGGCAGTCTTGTAGGGCTGAGCCCTTGACCCGTGGGATGTGATGCTATCTCCAGGCAGGCAGCTTCAGAATGGAGTTAATTGCTAGGTGGTGCTGGGAAAACATGCCTCAGACCAGGGGTTTCAGAGAGAGGTGGTTTTGGAGGGAGTGCCACTGTAGCAGGGAGAGGTCATACCTCTGGACTGGGGGCAGGGGTACGGCTCGAGACAGAACTCGAAGTCTGCAACGTAAGTGGGAAATGCCAGAACGTCCTGGGTTTTCGGGCCCGAAGACCTTGGCAATAATCCACCCTCCCGGGCCTCAGTTTCCTCATCTGAAAAATAGTTGCTTACTTTGTTCCTGCTAGAAGCAAATGAGATGAGAAACCTGAAAGCACACTGAAAAGCAGCTCATCGAATGTGTGTGGAACACTCACCATCACACACAGGAGCACTGGACAAGGAGGAGGGAGCAGCAGGGCTGGGGGAAGGCCCTGGCGCTGAGACGGGGGTGATGGAGCACTGGGCACACAGGCCTTGACCACTGTGTACACTGTGCCAGGGGCCCCGGCTGGCGCGGCTCGGTGGATTGAGTGCCGCGCTGCAAACCGCAAGGTTGTTATTTCAGTTCTCCGTCAGGACACATGCCTGGGTTGCGGGCCAGGTCCCCGGTTGGGGGTGTGTGAGAGGCAACTGATGGACGTCTCCCTCACACATTGATGTTTCTCTCCCTTTCTTTCTCCCTCCCTTCCCCTTTCTCTAAAAATAAATAAAATCTTTGAAAGACAAGAAAAAAAAGTGTGCTGGGGGTAGGCAGTGAGTGGCCATTCTTGCCAGTCCTGCCTCTGTTTCCTTTGAACTTCCAGAAGGTGTTCTGGAACCCCATGGTGGAACCATGGTCCCTGTTTAACCTCTACGGCACCCACTGACGACACCAGGTCATGTTTATTGAGCCACTACTATGAGCAGCCACTGGGCTGCGGGCTGCATACGTCTTCTCATTTACAAAGTGTGACGGGGATACTAAGGGTGACTTTATTTTGCAGAAGAGGACATCAAGGTATGTCACTCGCCCGAGGCAAAGAGCCACGGAGCCAGGGCTGACACGCAGCGCCCCGGAAGTCTGGCCGCCCAGGATGGGCCTGGAGCGCCAGGCTGTGAGACTGGCGGACGAAACGGTGCACAGCAGAAACCACCTAAACATGACAGACACGCGTATGACTAGACACCGATCTCAAACCACCCATGTTGCCCCGGTTTCTCCCGGCGAGCCCCGATCCTGGGTCCTTCCATAAAGGGAAACGATGAATAATTGTTTCTGGGAATTCTGTTAGCATGGCAGGACGGAGTTCTGCTTTTCACTCGGCAGGCACACGAGCCTCCGACACTGCTTGCAAGATGCTGAGTTTGGAAATCACTTTTTAAATGGAAATTCAAAGGCAAAAGTTAAGGAAATGGAAAACCATGGAGAGCTAAGGGGGAAAAACTGATGTCTTTCCCACATTCTGTCCTGAAAGCTCAGAGGGCGGTAACGGTGGGTCCCACCACTCTCCGGCCCAGCCTTCCCTTGCATTGCACGGTCACGGGTCGGCACCAACGGCCCCACGGAGTGGCAAGTACCGTGATCTTCAGGAGCTATCCAAAGGTTACGATATCTAGGAAATTGATACCACTTTGGGAAAAGTCCAAATCAAATTAAAATCAGCCCCAAAAACAAAGATAAACCAAAGGTCTGCAAAGTCATCGAACTGACATGATTGTGTTACATTTCACGAGACCTTCGTCAGCACCGAGGGAGAACGTATGAGGCGCCTGATTTTCCCGAGGAAGTGGCAGGTGGAGTCTCTAGGAGACCCCATAACCGCGTCTGAGACTAGACCCTGCCTGTCGCCCTGGAAGCCGGGTGAACAGACAGTGAGAGAGCACACCCAGTCGTCCTCCTCTCTTCGATCTGATTTCCGTTCAGAGGCCCTGCCCTGCACGTGTTGTGGCTCCACTATTTTCCACGCAGGAAGCGAAGGGAGTGAACCAAAAGCCCAGCTCAAGGTTATACCGCTAGAAGAGCCAAGGACAGTTTGATCAGCCAGAGCCCAGCT